CGCCATCATGCCCTGCTGGTGCCCACCCCCCAGTTGCCCATGATTTCCACCCTGTCCCTAATACACCCCCTTATCCCTTTGTATTTGGCTCAGCAGAAGGAAAGGAAGCCGTATGTCAGCTTAGGTCATTCTAGCATCTCTGTTTTTCGAGGCAGGATGCTAGATGTCTTCCCCAGCACCTTCTTATGGTGAGTCCTTCTGGGCAAGAGCTCTGGCCTGTCTAGGATCAGCAGGAACTCTAGCTCATATCCCTATAATTAACCATCTCATACTTCGCAATCATCCTGGCCAGACAGTGAAGAATAATAGGAGTACTGGGAGCTCACTCTATTTTACTTTCATCTCATTTTCCCATTTTAGAAAGTTCAGGTTTTTAACCAGACTGTGAGTGGATCCTTGCCTTTTATTTTACCTGGCCAACTTTCTACATTCGTCTATGTATAGCAGAAAGTTGTACTGGGCCTCAACTGTATGTGCTCTATTGACAGATTCTCAGTTTTTATGGGACTCTTCACACCAGCCGCTTCTCCCTATTGGTGACAATCTAGGCATGCTTTCCAGACAGTCCCAAGAAGCTTCACTCCTCCTGTCTGCTTATCGGTTTCACCTAACTATGCAGTAACTGAGTTTCCTTATGGCAAAAAGTACTACTGTACTTCCAATGAGCAAGGACAGCAGAACTCACCATCAAATCCTAGGCTAAGATACTAAGAATTCTTGAGTCCTAGGCATTAGCTGTGCCTTTAATGTGAGTTTGATCCTGAGAAATAGCAAATGTCTCTGTTCTTATTCAAATGAATGCATTCTTCAGGGTGCTTAGTGCCTAATAACACTGAGCACTTGTTGAGCAGCCTTGAAACAGTTTCAGTGTCATCATCATGCCTCAGTTTCTTCTCCAGTGAAGCACAGATAATCCTTAATTATTGAATTACCTTCATTTGAAACTTCTGGCTTTACTGTCTTCAGACTATTTAAGAAGTTTCTCAAATACCCTGAAGCACTTTTTCACTTTTACCTTGAAACATCATATTTAAACAATCTGAAACATTCACCTTTGTAAACGTAATTAAGAGATTAGGGATTAGAGTAGGTGACATAAATAACTGAGCTACATTTATCTGCAGAAATGTGTATGAATAAAGCCCAAGTCTTGGAGTACAGTATATACTGCCCAACAGTAATTTTCTAAAGAACCTCATCTCTGGAATCTTCTTCCCTTACTACTTAAATTTAGCTTCACATATTAATATCACAGTTTTAATATTTGTTTTACAACTGCTGTGACAAAGTAGCTTTGTAGTAGAAAAAAACTGTGGGGGAGGAGGAAGGGAACAGTCTACAAATATTCAACAGAGTGTGTGTGGATTCCTGACATCCAACACAGACTAGCTACAATAAATAACTCTGAGCAAATATTTTAGTATGCAGAAAACACCAGCGTATTTCTGGACACACCTCGGTGGGTAGCACATTGCAATATTTTTACAATGCCACACGATGGCACTGTTTCAGAATATTATTGAGATGTATAAACCTGCACCAGAAAACCTGCCTAGAAGGGGTTTGCTGCAGATTTTGGCATATGTGACCTAAACAGGAGACAAAAAAGGCAAATACAATTTTGTTTCTTTATGATGCATAATGAAGGCTCATAACATCGCTGTTCCTACTAACTGTATACATATAAATTAGCTCTTCTCTACTCTGGCTTTCCTGGAACAACTAAAGAGTAGCAAGATAGCCTAACATCGCTGCATTAGCATCCAAAGGCCTTGATCTGGTACGAGTCCACTGAAAAAAAGATGCTGCATAAATATTTTGGAAGACTCCATGCTCAGTCCCTAAAAGTTCACAGCTTAATCTGAAATGAGGCAACAAATGAGTCTGACAAACAAAAGGCATCAGGGAGGGACAGTTATGGTAATAATTCAGTTATATAGTCAATTCCTGGACAACAAAATACTACCAAATGTTTTGGGATTGTTTTTAAATATATACATTAAATGCAGTTGGTCCAGTGAGAGAGATCACTCACAATAATCCTTGCTTCTTATATGAAATCAGTCAACTGAAGCATCACTGACTGGCAAAGAAAGAAGACAGTAGGCAAATTATGGTTCTGTTAATATCTACTTTAAATGCTCAATGAAGAGTTTGAAGGAAAGTTCTCTATTTCCAAGACTCAAAGACTCCTTTCCCCACAGCCCTCTCCATTAAGGACTGGGAAATCTTCCATTTCAGGTCTTTACTTTTCCAAACAGGGTTACATGGAAAAATATGATTTGATATTCCTAAAGGAAGAAAAATTCCAAAGTTTCAGGATTTTTTTTTCTATCCAATGAAAACATGAAAGGAGGAACCTACTTATTTTTTCTGTTTTGTTTTGCCAAGGCTATCGCCCAGTACAGGAAAGAAATCTTTCTTAGAAGAAAGTGTCACACATGATGGGGGAATTAGACACCTGGATCTGCTATCAGCAGGAAACAGGTCTGAGGATAGTGTCCCTTCCCCCATTTAATTTATGGTGCTATTCTTATTGTGTGTCTTTGTTCAAATTTAGGTATTGAATGTTTCAGGGTAGGCAATGACTCGATGTTTGCCTACACTGCAAAATGACTTCTTGGAGCTGTGGCAGACAGGGTTCTTTGGGTGAATCTGGTATCTTTTATTAGACCAACTTAAATAGTTGGAAAAAAAAATTAAGCAAGCTTTCGGGTTTAAAACCCTTTGTCAGGCTGAGGAAGTTTCTGCAGTCGGTGGAATGAAAAGTAACTCCTGTGACTCCTATAACCCTGTGACTCCTATAACCCTGCACATCAGCATTACTCATGGCTGGCAGCTCCTCCTCAAATGTATGACAATGAAAACAGGAGCTATTTTCCAAACATGCGTTGTAAGTCCCTAGAATAGCTCTTCCTGCCAGTGAGTAAAGTGCTGTCAGCATTCACTGAGGCAAGTGGTTTCCTTTCAAGGAGTTTGCTCATACACTCATGCCCCAGGCATCTGGGATGCCACCTACAGTACATATACACCCATGGCAAGGCACATCCCCTACAGACACAGAAATGAAGCTTAGTTACATGTCCATGAAACAACTACAGCAGCTAACAGTGCCAGTGCTGCCCTAGGGCATGATCTCTGGGAGTCACCATGCATCTGCATTTCAAACCCCCCTACCATTCTCCAGAACTGCCAACCTGACCTCTTTCACCAGCACTAAATGATGTTTAAAATGATTAAAGTCATTCCCCACAGGGATGTCTCCTTCACAAAATTATATTCCCCCACAACAATTATTACAGACCTGTCCCAGTAACACAAAACTTTGCTAGAGCAGAGCCAAGCTGAAGAAAGTACAGAGGTGGAGAGAAGATTGCTTAACATACAATCTGCATGCACCTGACCTTTTGAGGGTCTCTCTGATCAGAAACAGGCAGGTGACTACATCTGTAGGAAAAAGTTCCCTCCCTGATTAAACATCTGCACTTTGCCCTAATGCAATTAACTGTGACTGCTCCCACTCCATGGGTGCCCTACACGGGTGTGGGTTGTGACCCAAAAGTGGGTTGCAGGAATAGATGAAAGGGCTGTGATCAAACTTTTAACAATGGATCAAAGTTTAAAAATGAATTCTCTTTTAAAGGAGAAAAGCATGGGAAAGTAGCCTTTCCCTTGCAGGAGGGCCGAGTTCCAGCCCGTGCCCCACACACACACCCCCAAGGATGGAGGGCAGTGGCCCGGGAGCGAAGGGCACTGGGTCGGGACTGGCCATCGATGTTTACAAACAGGTCCTGGTACAGAAAAGGTTGCGAACCCCTGCCCTACACCACATGCACGTGAAACGCAGAGCTGCCCAAGAACTCAAACCCCGCGCTGGACCGCACCACTAACAACATCTGAGGGCTGCAGCTTAGTGGAGCTACCCGGGTTTAGCCCTGCAGAGATCACAGAGGAGGGATTCATGAATCAGAGGAGAGCTAAGTCTACGGTTTAAGTTCAGGGCTGGTCACCAGGTGCTTTTCTGCATCTCCGTGTGAACTTATGTGACTCACTTAACAACTCGGTGCCTCATTTTCTCTCCCCGGAACCTGGAGATTGTACTTGAAAGGATTCTGGTACTTGCCACGTGCCCACATAGGTTGGCGATTAAAGGACACACCTCTGGGAAGCAGCACCCACACTTGAACCTGAGCTGGTAGTGGAAACTCACAGGTTTTTAACGAACCCCCCCCCCCCCC